GTTCATTGTCGGCTCAAAGCTACAGAAATAAGAAGAAATTAATTCAGGGCTTTTCTTGTAAATTCTATAACTTTGCAAATAAACGTCATGTAGAGCTGGGGAATGTCTCATTTTAATCAGAAATGTGTGCGCTACAATTATATCTTATTTAAAAATGTTTTGGTTATTTTTAAAGTTTCTGAAAAACTGGGCCTTCAAGAAACATGGGAAAAATGCTTTATGCCACTAGAATCAGCTCGTCGAGCTGTATCGACTGGGGTACCTCTCGTTAGCATCTGTGATTAACACTTGGGATAGTTCCCTCGTGAAAAATAGGGTATCGAAACAAATCCTTTCGATTCGTATTGGGTAATGGGTACGAAAAAGCGTACGCGCAGAAGCCTTGTGGGCATTTCGTATAGCCTGAACAATCAATCTATTTTCAGAATCTGTATCACTCCTATCAGTCATCCAGTTCTATTTCTGAAAAGCTATCAAAAAATGGTAGTCTGAAACTACTTTCCGACTTCGCTATATGTTAAGTAAACTTTTATATCAAATATGTAGATTTTCAGAGCAGATCTTCACGTTAAAAACGAATTCGACGCAACTTTGTGTGGCATAACAGTAGAAAGTTATAAGCATTAATGCGCCATTGAATATATAGGACCTTCTCTATATCGATATTATCGTCAGTGCCTCTTCACTCAATTTGAAGTCTTAAAAATAGTTAAACATAACAGGACACTTTTTTTTACTCAAAACATCGGACGTCTGTCTACAAAGCATCGATTTTTTTGGAAATCCACTTTTATTCTATAGAAAATACGGGTCTTTTTATCGCTGAAAATTGTATGTATTGTGCATTTTCAACTACAAATGCACTCCAGAACATAACGATAGTGAATTTCGACAAACGAGGTGTCGTTTCCGATACAACTAATATTGCATTTTAAAATAAATCCGTCGAGTACAACTATTACCACAGACTTGGAAACGGTACCGTATCGAAGTTCTATTTGCTCGTTGCGCTATTTATAACTTGTCAATATATTCGTGAATTAATGCATACCTCTAGATATGCGTCGATTATTTTTCCAAGCTTTTTAAAACAACAATTTCTAGGCTATTTTGTCGAATGTCGTTTGAATATGTAGCGCTGATCGGTAAATCTCTCTCCTAATTCAAGTATCAGTAATGCTCAATTTAAGGCCGATGCTAAATTTCCAAATGACTTTCCGTAGGTGCACAAAAAAAACAGTTTTAGAATTGATGCATCTCTATTCGTGTCAACTTTAACATTTTTAGTTGACATTCGCATCAAAGTTTATTCACACGATCATCTTTTAGTGATAAAACTCTGACTCGATCTGGATGCAAGGTATAGGGATGAAACACTTTCCGAGAGAATTTCTATCTCAATTTAGTTTCGTTAAAGTAGTACCACGAGAAAAAACATATGCGGCATTATACTCTCAAACACCTAGTTCATCATCATTTATGAAAATGGTAAAGATTTCAAACTATAGATCTTACATCGATAGAGTTCACACATCTAATAATATCTCAACGCTTAAGTTACATTATAATTCCAGACAGATGGCAAGAGTTAGTATACAAAACACAAAAAAAGTCTTATACAGAATATATAAATGGGCTACGGTTATTTCGTCGAATGTTTTACGTATTTAATTTGAAGTGCTACATAATCATCTTGAATATAAAGATTATATAGTCGAGATCGAGAATAATAACAAATACAATGAAAAAATCAAAAATACCGTACCATCCTTATTTTTTAATTCCATTAATATTCGTTTAAAATAAATAGTCAAGAGTAATGACAGCAACAATAAGGTAAAAAGTTTAAAAAGAAAACGTTTGTTTTAAACAAAATGTGAGAGAAAAAAATAGCAGCTCGTATATTCATATTTCTTTTTATGTACGATATGTTAAGTACTAAAATAATAACGAATTGGTGGAATTGTTTGTGTTTCATTGAAATCAACGTCCATATTGCTATCATCAGTTAATACAATTAATTCAGAATAACTGACATCAGGTTTATGAGTTAATACATCATTCATTCTAAAGTGAAAAAATTAATTTACCATTAAGTTCAAATTACCTCTTCTACCGAGAGCGTAAGTAGTATTAATACAGCAGACGGTCAAGATAACCAAAAAAAAATTTTTTTATATCAAATGTTCTTGTCAGAATAATTAAAGTGATAGAAAATAACAAATTTTAATGATCATATACTTTCGTTTTAATTGTTTAGATGCTTTTGATTTATCCCATGGTATATAAACTGGTTTGTTCCCTTCTGTAATCATTGATGCATTTAAATCATATTTTGACTAGAACAACAGTAAAAACTATAATTCATACTATCCTATTTTTTATATGTCTCTTACTTTGACTTCTCCAATAAAATCTTCAATTGTCATTGATGAATTGCCTTTAATTTCAAAATTTGACCATATACTAACATCAAATTTTCTATAAGATAAATATTTGTTATGAGATAATATTTTAAAACATAATAAAATTCATACCCAATCTTTTGAATTGTACATGCTAATGGTTCACTGGCAATGAACAATGGCAATGCAATATTAATATAAAAATTTCGAAATGTACTTAATGGGAGATTTTGATTAATTTGTTTTAAACATATTTTGATTAACTCAATAGATATCTCAAAGAAGAGAGATATTCAATTTTTATTACAATTTCGTAATATAATTATTATACTTACCAATCCGGAGACAGTAGCTGTTGTCGTACCAATAGCCGGTACGATTTTTCCAGCAATACGTTTTATTTCATATCGATCACCCGGTTCCAGATCATACATTTGTGCTCTTAAATTCTAGAAAATAAAACGATGTTTACTAAACTTTTTGTATTATAGAAATAATTAGACATACAACAGCTGCTGAAATAAAATCAATTTGAAAATCATCATCTTTTTCAAATGGAAGTGGATGTGCTTCTATAAGAGACAATAAAACAGATAAAATATATTATAACAAAAAGAACAAAAAAAAGAGAGAAAAATATACATACTCAAATTTCCTGAACGTTCTTCAGCTGTTTTCCATTCAGCTTCACTGACTTCACTTTCATTGGAAGACGTAATCACCGGTTTGACAACTGTAGGATCAGTTATTATTTCCTTAAAATTAAAGGAAAAAAACAATAACTCATGACACTTTTGAATAGTTGAGTATATCTCTACATACTTTATTTCTTGGCTCCCATTTTTGAACGTTTACAGTACGAAGAATGGCTTTATTCGCTTCAATATCATGATTTGAACACTCATTAGACTATAAGCAAATATCCATAAATATATGTATCAGTGAAAGAATGAAAGAAAATCATACTGATAGAGAATAGATTATTGAATACAATTTGGCACATGCGATAACAAAATCATAATGTCTAAATAATTAGCAAAGGAGTTTTAACCAATAGATGAATACTAGTTCTCTATACTTACAATTGATTATTAAAATCAAATTCGATGGGTTTTGGAGCTCGTTTTGGTAATTTCCAGTAAGAATCTAGAATGATAGAAAAAAAAAATTAAAAGTTAATAAATGAGACAAACCTTTAGCTATACCTCCTTTATCATCTTTTAAATCTAATGGAAATTTGTGCAGTAGATCTAATGCCTGAAATAAAAAATGAATGAATTTTATGATTGTTTATACAACACAACTTTATGGCATCGTACTTTATGTGAATAATATTTTTCAAATTTTTGTCTCGCTAATTCAAGACATTCTTTCCAACTTGTACAACGACGTTTCATAAACTTAATTACTTTTGGTAAATCTTGTATCGTATTGCCATCTTTGATTCGCTAAATACATGAAATTTTGATTGATATGACTTTTTTTCAGAACAGAGATATGGCAAAACGGCTTGAACAAAAATGCTCTCTATTGACTAAATGGTTATGCAGGAGAAGACCATGTCATGTTTACATTGATATGGGTGAAAGTATCAGGAAATAGATTTATATTTGACTTACTTTAGCTATATTTGATTCCAATAGAACGTTGTTAAACAGTGATGGTTTAAAATGAAATGCACTATCAAACTAAATAAATAAGAACGATTAATTTCTTCACATTTAATTTAATTCAAATGATTTTTTGTACTTTTTCTCGAGCCCAGATTGTACAATGTTCAATATTGGCTGGAAATGATTTGACATTACAATATGGAATGTCTTTTTCAATTGGATCATTCTTTAAAAGAAAACCATAGATACAAACTGTATTATCCTTCAACTACATAGAAAGTACAAATAGGTTACTTGACTAGAATATGATTCGGATTCGAATGGAACAACAATAAATGTATGGCCTTTTGAACCCATTGTACCAGATTCCAATAACGGTCTTTGATTTTTTACACAGAGGCTATAACAAAAGAGCAGAACGTTACATTGATGAGCGTCGTTCCAATATATACTATTCACATAAGTAATGGACAATACGACAGATCCTTCGTAAAAAATTAAATGATAACGATGACTATTTTTAATTTCAATATTTCCGAAAGCCCTATGCACAAAAACTCGGTTTTCAAGAAGTCTATGGTCAAGTCAGAATCAACTAAATCCAATGGCACCATCAGATAGGGCGATCCATCTTTTTGTTGACAGTCACTATGCGATGTATAGTTACATAAACATGAAGACCTAATCCGACCCGACAGAGTATGCCCAAGTCGATAAAAGAACTAGAAGTTGCAAAGACAATCACTACTGTCATGCACAATTATGAAAACTACAAAGAAAACTACTATAAGCCATAAGTATACTGCAATTTGTATGTACGTGACTTTTATTCAGCTCCTACAAAGTTATTATTTGCTAGTCTCTCGTTTCCCACCAACTTACGAATCCATATATCTTCTGGCTTCAACATTATCCAATGCATTTACAATAATCGTTTGATTTGAAATAAATGAATCAGTACATAGTTGTTCTTTTGCATTAGCTCCGACTAGAAGAAGAATGGCAACAATATCATACTATGAATACATACAAGAAATCTTTTGTCAGACCTTTTTCTGTATAAGATTTGATTTTTAATTCTTTATTCATGTCATACGCTGATTGAGCTGCAACAGTTGATTTTGGTTGGTTAAGATGTTGCTTATGGAATAAAAATTGCCTATTTAAGTTTGATTTTTCAATATGATCATGATCAGTTATTGTGATCTAAATCAAACTTTATTTTTAGAAATTATCCATATATTATGATTCTAAGAGGAGCCAGTTTCCACTGAAATTCTAGCAAAACATTATAACAACAAGACCCCGTCAGATACAGTCGTTCAGTAAACTAACGGTTCATAGTACGCCAGTTATATTTCATTATGTGATAGTCATTACCATTTGCTGACGTCCAACACCCAATAATGCAAAAAGTTTCAACAGTTCACAACCAATTGCACCACACCCAACCTATAAGAAAAGAAAATTAAATAGAAAAACTGAAGAAATTAGTTTTTTTTTTTATAGAATATACCATAAATAAACGTTGATGTGCTAAACAATTGACAAGTGTTTCACCAATACAAAGCCTCAATGCATGATAACGATCTGGTTTGAATGATTCTCTTAAAAATAAATACACAGATTTTGACAGATTGAGATTATTAATTCATATCTTACTTTTCAATGTATTCATACTCTTTTTCTAACGGAATTTCTTTGACAAGTTCATAAGCATCCAAATATAACTAAAATAAATAAATGAGAATTGTAATTTTGTTTTCTTCTCTGTTTTAAACTTACGAATTGTTTCACTGGATGAAATTTTCCTGTTAACGTTGTTAACACTTGTTGTCCAACAAAACCGCCCATGGCTGAACATAAAGATGCTAATGAACCTCGTGCTGTATAAATCAAATATTTAAATAAATCTTTGAAACGCTGTTCATCATGAACTTGCTAAAACAAAATACGTACAAAGATAAAAATTAGTAAAAAACAATTCAAAGATGTAATAGAAATAATTGAATATTCATAATGTGTATAAGATAGTTTATCTCTATAAACATGTCAACATCTGAAGCCAATAGGATTGACTACACATTATTAAGAACATAGTTGCTTACATTTTTTAAAATTTGTTTCATATGTTTTTGCGCTAAATCCATCATAACTACGGCATCTTTACATGAGTTGGTAGAACTGTAAAAACAAAATAAAAACATCAAAACTATCTAGATCAATTATCATTACAAAAGAACTTACTTGCATTCTGGTAATTGATGATGTAATTGTAAATATTCACTTAATGCCACCATGAGAATATGTATATAAACAGTATTTGGTACCTTAAACAGTTCAGAATATATTGTAAAGCAACTGGAATTATAATTATTTTCAACTTACATCACCATCAATCTCATTTGTCCAATAGTCACTCCCATCCACAGTTAATATTCGAGGATTATGTAACTGTTCAGCGAGACTGTTCTAAGAAAAGAAAAATGACGTTAACAACACAAAATCATCAAATATTATGTACATACATAAGTTAATTTTATTTGTTGCTTCACTTCTCTCGCTATTCCTCCACTTTTATATTCACCCATATTTGATATGTCACCAATTAAAAATTCACGATGATTCAGTTCTAAAAATCAATTTATTAATTTTTATCCAGAAAAATATTTTTTTTCTTAATATATATATATATTTTGTTGCTTACAACAATGTGGTCAAATGTATACATACCTTTCACTGTTCTTTCACTATTATTTAATTTTTCTAAACCGACTAATTCTCTTAAATACACAATATCATTATCTTGAAATGGATGCCGTTCATCACCGGGCATTTTGACAACACCGTCCTAAAATAAGAAAACAAATACATCTAAAACTTGACAGTTTCATAGAAAACGTTTATTGTGAATCTTACATACGGGTGATATATGATTTATAAAAACTTCTTTTGCTTGCTCACCATCTTTGTCCGTACAAATAAATGTTTCTTGACCACAATCAACAAAGCATCGGGAATATATTCCATACACATCAGCGGTAATAAACTAAGAAAGAAATTCGAGTCAGTGTGATCTCAAACATTTCTTGTTAACTTACAATTATATTCGATGTACGACAAAATTCATTTATCTGTATCATTTCTTCAAGATTACATTCAGTTAAAACAATGCACTAGAAGACAAATTTAAGTTTAATTTGAATTCAAAGAAGAAATATCATCATACAGAGAACTGTTTGAAATGCTCTGGTGAACAGTCTTTTAATGACTGTGTGGAAATATTCACTTTGACATAATCATTTAATGCACGTAATTTTTCGACACTACACTCTGCTCTAAAGCATAAAAAATGATGATGAGAAAGATGCACTAAGCGTACAGAATTCATTTACCGATTTTTACCGATGGACTGTTCATTCAAAAAATACTGTGTGCCTAAATCGATAATAGTTGTCAACTTTGGATCTTGTAACGTAAGACTCTATAACATAAGAAGCATGAAAACATGCTAATATTTAATAATAAAACAAAAAAGTTGAACTGTACGTACATGAACACCGGCTAAAATAATATTTTTAGCTATTTCAATACCCACTCCACCGGCACCATAGAGGAGAACATGATGTTTTCTTAAACGTTTCATAGCATCATCACCTAATACGTAACGTTGTCGACTTGAAAAAAGAAATTATACTAATGATAAAGATTTTCAGACAAAAAAACTTTATATACATACTTGTACAACTGATCGTCAATAATATTTTCATCATTTACCGTTGTCGTCATCTTTAAAAAGATCACTAGTTTAATCTAAAATAGAAAAGTCATACAAGAATAGTACATCAAAAACGTGGCAAATCACACTATGCTCGAGAAGAACACATCTTGGTGATATGCCAGGACCGTACCCAGGGGGTGGGTAAACAGGGCACGTGCCTACCCTGATTCACTGTAAAAAAATTTTGAAGTACTAAAAGATGCACTGTAGATGAACGAATAAAACGTTTTACCCGTTCAAAAATTTTTAAAATTTGCCATCCTCTTAGCAAAATCCTGGGTACGGCACTGGGATATACTCTAAAGTAGAAAGTTTCCACAGCTCGTGTCAAATATTAAACGTGAAAAAAATTGTTAATATTAGCACTTATATTTCAAGTAAATCCGTTTAACAAAAAAAAATCCACAAAATTTAAATAATCACGGTGAGCATTGCCGGTTCTTTATTCATTTTTTCTTGTGGTTCTATTTCGCTTGACCCACGTAACCTTTTAGTACTTGGTGCAAGTTTTTTCGGTTTCTTGATCTAAAGAGAAAGACAAGAGATGATTATACATTAGATTTGTTAAAATATTTCTTCTATTTGTACTTCTGAAGCTTGTGCTTTACGCTTCTTTTTGTTTTTCACATTTTTATTCGTGTAACTGGTATTTTCATCGTCACCGTTCTTGTTTGTATCAACATTAACATCATCATTTGTGAGATCATTACCATTGGCTGTTGCCTCATCCGCATCGTTTGCTCGCAACCGTCGAAAATCTGAGTGAGATAAAGATTAATCATAGTATTAAACTAGATGGCAATTGAATGCTACAGAAAGAGCTTCCTACATTTCTTTCCGCTTTCCATGTTCATAATAAACTATTTGTTATTCAGTTATTTTATGCACGGTTAGCCTCCTATAAATTTTACTTTTACAAGTCTTTTTAACTACATCAGTTTTTATGTCACATATGAAATGAGATGATCTCATAATAGTTTTGTCACTAACTCTTATTTTATCACAAGTACAAAATAAAACTTGCATTGAAAACTGCTTACCTGGATATAAATCAGATAAATCATCATTAGGATCGTCATTTTCAATATAAATTTCATCTTCACTCAAATCTGTGTACTCATCATCATCGTTTGCTGTTCCACCATCCTCCTTGGATGCGTTTGTTGGCTTCTGCTTCTTTTTACGGCCAATCGGTACATACTCTGTATTATTCGCCTGACATTCTTGCCCTAAAAAAAATACAAATCGCTCCTGATAAAAATATTTAGATATAACTTTTTCTACATACACAGAGTAAGTGCACGTTGAAATCGTTTTCCTTGTAGATGACGAAGTATATGATGTGGTTCTTTGTTCAAATGTCGCCACGTTAATTTACAGAATAATTGTCGTCTAAGCAGAAACAATATTTATCTTTTGGATGTTGTAGGAAAGAAAACAACAAACGTACTCATGATCTTTTTTATGACTCGGTTCAAGAAACATTTTATATTTTCCTAAATAATCATTATCAAGTTTCTTTTTTAAAAATTGTTGATACTTTTTTCCTTTAACATAGTTTTCTATGGATGATAAACGTGCCGGCATTTCATGTTCAGTCCATGTACACTTAACCTGAAGAAAAACAAAATTAATACACAAAAACAGAAAATATGAATAAAAGAGAAAAATCTTACACGATTTTTATCTGGCACATACTGCAGTGATGGATAAGAACGTAATAATAATTCAATATCAGCTGGAACAGTTACTGAATCAACGTCCATCTATAAGAAAAAGAATTTTAGATTTTTAAATAGATTCGTGATATAGCTGTCATGGGATTTTTTTCGTTTGAAACGATGTCCAAACGCATATAAACAACAAAATAATATAAACGCATTCAGTCGATGCTTGAAACGCGTTTTTTAGCCATTTAAATAATATACGAAACACGTTTCTATTATTTCATTGTTTATACGCGTTTCGACACCGTTTCAAACGAAAAAAAGTCTCATGAGCTGTATCAGCCGTCGACACATAATAATAGACGCCATCCGAATTATCTATCACGGCTAACCAAACTTTCTACTGGAAACAGAGCTTATACTCTTAGTGCCTTTAATTAGAAGAATAACAATGAAATTTAGCTAATAGTCAATTTAACGAAGAAAATCAAAATAAATAATAAACAACATTATAAAGAAAACGAACGTAATGTATACATGTATAAAAAAGAACCTAAACAGAACACACTATTTTTTCTTTAATTGTTCGGTTAACTCTGGTACAATTTTAAATAAATCACCGACAAGACTATAATCAGCTATCTGATAGATTGGACAATCGCCATCTTTATTAATAGCCACAATAATTTTACTATCTTTCATACCAGCTACGTGTTGAATAGCGCCGCTAATACCAATTGCCAAATATAACTCGGGAGCAACTATTTTTCCTGTCTGACCAATTTGCATATCGTTCGGGCAGTATCCAGCATCTACGGCTGCTCTCGATGCACCAACAGCTGCTTGTCCGGGAAATACATCAGCCAAATCAAATAATAATTTGAAATTTTCTTTACTTTTCAATGCTCGACCACCACTGATAACAATACGCGCTGCTGTTAATTCTGGACGTTCTGATTTTTGCAATTGTTGTGACACAAATTCGGATTGATCATTTTTTATATCATTAAACGATGATAATTGTTCAATTTGTGCACCATTATTATTATCTGGTTTAGCGGCTTCAAATGCTGTGCCTCGAATAGTCATGACTTTTATTTTATCATTTGATTTTAATGTCAATATTGCATTACCAGCATAAATATTACGTGTAAATTTTTCACTATCAATTATTTTTGTTACATCTGTAATAGGTTGAACATCAAGTAGTGCAGCTAAACGTGGTAAAATACTTTTGGCATAGGTTGATGCACCACCGAGAATATGTGTATAATTATTTTGTTTTTGTAAATTTAATAAAAATGGTGTAACAACTTCGGATAATAGCCCTTTGAATATAGCATTTTCAGCAACAAATATTTTTTTAATATTTGTATTAAATTTTTGTAATTCTGCAGCGACTTCTGAACATTTTTCTTGTCCAATAATTATACAGTGTACATCATTATTTAATTGTTTAGCGGCTGTCAAACTAGAAAAATAGCATTTTCAGAGAAAAGTAAAACGACATTTGACATTAACTTGCGTATTTAATGTGATAGGTGCTAATGTTCCTTTGTCTGATTGTTCAGCTAATACTAATGTACTGTTGAAACGAAAAGGAATAGCAGATGATACCAAACGAGAAAGAATATATCGTGTATGCATCTTAAATAAGTAAACAATCATACAACTTTTTCGAACGTCATACTGATTGCATAGATATCAGATTAAATCAGGGAAAAAATAAATATATGGAAACATACCTCGCAGTAAGTTTCGGATTTATCCAAAAGAGAAATGCATACGTCTATTACATGTAATATTTATAACAATTACTGTTCCTGTGAGGTTAAGAAAGCTTTTATTGACCAGCAGTTCATACGTTACTTATCAGTACTCTTTTACAGTATCTGGACAAGCAAACTTTATACTAGAGCGTTTTATTCCAAATGTTAATTGAATTAAATTGTAAGCATGATAATAACAATAACAAGTTCATTTGTATTCAGATTCTATATCTACCGTTAGATCAACCATTATAAAAGCGCGATTTCTTAGCAACAGAATTAATACTTGTCGCGCCATTTTTCAGTTTGTATCTTCGAACTTCAAATTCAGAAAAATTCATTTCAAACTCATTTTGTATTGGATTTATAAAATATTTTTCCACGAAAAATCATTATTTCTTTATTTCACATAAATTATTCATCGATTATTTTTAAACCGAGGAGAATGACTCGAAAATCAGAATTAGAATCATATCGTCCAAATAAACCACAACGTAAAATTGTACCAACACCTGCTCTAAAGAAATACCATCAAGAACAGTCATTACAGATGACGCAGATCGATAATTTTGATGATGAAGCCAGGTTGGCTAAACGTCATTTAACAAAAGAAATGTGGCAATTGGTTCGAATAGCTGTGCAACGAATGGCTGATGAACTTGTATCAATATCAAAAAATCAACAAGCATTGAAAACACAACTTCCAGTGCAACTTTCAAGATCTGTATCAAAAACAACAACAATCAATGATAACAATCATCGAACTGATTTATCAATCTTATTGGAAGAGCCAAAAGTTGATCAACAAATTCAACCTGTAACTCTCACGTGTGGCGGTGGTGATCACATCATGGATACTTTACCCAAAACAATATCAACCACTACAACAACAACAGCAGTCGAACAAAAAGTACCAACAATAACTTTGAATGATCGAAAAAGTTCGTTGTCGATGTTATCAAAGGATCCAGAAGTGTTAAGGAAAAAAAAGAATTTGAATAATAACAATAACAAAAACAAAAACCAATCAAAACTTCGCATAAACAAGAATTTATTTGTTACAAAACAACGTCAGTTAAAAAAAAAGAAAGATCTGAAAGCAAAAAGTAAGAAAAATAATAACAGTTTGAAACCAGCACTGAATATTATTGGAAAATCAACAACTATACTGGACAATAAACAATCTCGTAATATTAAGCCTGCAATAAAAAAATGAGAAAACCGCTATTGATACAAAATTTTTATGAACAAACATAAATTTTTTGTACTACTTTTGCTTTTCATGATCAATATGTTCATAAATACAATCTGATTAGTCAGATATGTGTTTCTTTAAGGAATGTTTATTTACTATGCATATTAAGACAATATTAGAACATCCATATCCACCAGCAGTCTTGTAATCAAGCCTATAATTTAAATCTAACTTTATTTATATACACCTTTCTTCGAAATGACTAAACAGAAGCATCTATGTTACGAATGGAGATGCTCGCAATGTTTACCATTCTGTCGCACAATCAAAGAATTGCAATAGAAGGAGATAGCATTTATTATCAATGCCAAGAACAAAGTATGATACAATTGTACGTATCGTTGTCTGTCGAATAAAAATAAACTTTTTAGATATACTATATCTCAACAGATTGGAAACATTTTAACAAAACATACACATAAGTTGTAAAACATACAAATAAGGACACGATAGTCGAAGAATTCTTCATTAACACTGCTAAGGTCAGAAGATCCAATGCATGTATTCAAGGGTAAAAACATTAAAATTTTGCTTCGCGGAAAGTGGCTGGTGAAATAAAGTTTTCGAAATTTTTGCAAGAAAGTTGCTGGTGGAAAAACGTCAAAGATTTTGCCAGAAAGTCCAAAACTGTTTTTAGGAATGGGCCAGCACCCCCTGCTCGGGAACCCTGAACATGAAATACGATGCAGCGGCACCCCCAAACAAGTGAAGTTGTAGTTTAGTGCATGAAATGAAGAGAACAATGAGATCAAATCAACAAGAACAAAATAATGAGAGTAAGATGTCGACTGACAAAGTTAAATCTGTTAAAAACATCGATATTTTGTATTAAATGAGGCACTGAACACAAAGAAAAGGTTCCGGTGAACTACACATAAACAACGTTCTCATGATGTTAATCACCTCAACAAGCAGCAATGACTTCATTAACGGCAGTCAATGCTCACTTCCAAACGTCACTATTACTGATTAACGTAGAAATCGTATTTAAAGTAGTTACAATAGCACAGGTGTCAAAAAAAGCGATGATGCCTTTTTTTTATGTAAGGAAACATTTAGTCTAATAAAAGCTTTAGAAATAGTTAGTCTGATGTAATGTAATATCGGCCTAATCTGTAAACTTAAATGAGAAATTCATGTGAGACAAGGACATATATCTCACCCACGTAGAGGCACCGCCGGTTGGCAGCCGCTTGAACCTATTCACGTTGACTCAACCTCAAGCTAATTAATGCCTCTACGATTACACAAGAAGAATCAACTGAACAGATGAGATGCCTTATTAAAAAGGAAATTTTACGCACAGAATCATGACCCAAGTACCCTTGAAACTAGACTGAAAACGATCGACACGACAGATACGATGGATATAGACTGAGTAGGACGAGTAACAGAATGGCATTAGAAGTGAACGTGAAATTTCTGTCGCTCTTGTTTTTCGTGTTCGTTGCTTTTTTTATCCGATATAGAATGAAAAAAACACAGTGAATCAGATATAACATACGCTGGAAGCAATGAGCTCACGCATAACTTTTATGTCTAGCATACTCTACTCACATTGCACGTATTATTGCTCAGCTAATGCTCGATAGCGGCATAAGTGAATGAGTGAGTGAGCAATTGCGACCTGCCGTAGTGGATCTTTACTCGTCCAATGAGAGACAACCTCTACTGTCGGCTAATTTCAGTAGATGGTGTAACAGATTACCCAAGTCCATCGAGAAACAAAAGTTTAGAAAAGCAAAACAAACAGAAGCGAGCAAGGGAGAAGACAATCCGTATGACGATGTAGTAGCGGAAATGTGTTTTAACTGTTTTGTTAGTCACCAATGTCGTCAAAATCGCTTAATTCTGAATGATTCATTGCAATTTTTCTTTAAAATCAACAATTAAACAGCTTTTGAACTCACATTATTTAATGCATTAAAATCATAAGAATTACCATAGTCAAAAATTTAAGATATCTCAGTATTAGCCGGTAGAATAGAGTGTTTGTTAGATGAAATAGCTTAAAAAAAAGAAAGCAATCGCATGCTTCGTAAACATCCTACTTTTGCTGCTTTTTAGTTTAATCTATATTTATTAGTCAGCTGAAATAAGCAACACAGATGGTCAAGAATCGCAAAGCATGGCACCCCTGCTTTTGTTTTTCCATAAAATTTTGATGGTTGCGATCCTGTTGTTTCTCTTTATTCGATTGGTCACTGCTTTTTCATTGGCCCTAAATTCGGCGAATATTGATATTTTCCTGCAGCTGTAAAATTGTTTGTAAAATTTCAAAAAAATTAAGACATTTAATGAGTAGAGCTGCAATTATGAAAATGAGATAAGCAGGTCACAGCAAAGTAGAATGACCGTAGAAATATTACAAACGGCGCCAAACTCTCTCTCTTCGTCGTAAGTACTTTAGACTTCTACAGTTTTTCAGAATTTATCATCGTCTAAGTCCTGTTTCTCTCTTTTACACTATTCATGAATGAATGAATGAATGAATTATTATTCACGAAAAGTGAGCATCATCAAAGGTCACCGACCTATAAAACAATGACTCGAGCCGAACAACAACAAAAGAATCTATAAATAGAAAAAAAAAAATAATAAATAAATAAATAAAAGGTAAAACAGATAGTAAAGAAGAATAAAAAAGAAACAAAATAAAATAAAATAAAGTAAATAAAATAAGAGTAACAGCACTAGCTTTGTTTATAACTGTGTGTTTTTAACTGCTATGTTCTACTGAAAAGA